AGCAATGCAATAGTTTGTACTTGAAATGAGTAATACGTTCTTGACGTGATTTTGACAGTTGCCACCTACACTTGCAAATATTTAATGGGTGTGGTTTAAAAGAAAGTCCTGTGTTGTCCCAAGCACAGGCTCATCACCTAGTTGGTGTGTGACAGCACTTCACACATCAAGGTGAGAAATTCCTATTTCTTTATTGTATTCTGTGCAAACTAGGAAATTAGGGGGCAACCCACAAAAGTCTGGCTTATCACCATCAAAACTTTCCACTATTTGCACATTTTAGCAAACAATCCATCAGCATTCATTGGTTACAATTGATATCGCTTTTTCATTAATTAGTACTCAGACCCTTATTTGCCAGCTATATTTCTTGCTTCTCATGCTAATTATTCCTCATGTGCACTTCTTCCCCCCATTCCATTTGGGGATCTGTTTTAACTTGGTGGTCAGGGGGTCGGTAGTTTTGAACTTCCCTGCAGGATTACCTTTCCCCCAGTTACTGCTCAGTCCTGCTGACTTCACTTCAAGGGCTCTCATCCAGACAGCCCATTTATTTTGGGACTGTGTTCCCTTTTCCTTAAAACAAAGGTTTAGTCATGCCTACAAGTTTCACTGTGCAATTGCTTAATTATAACTGCCTAGCTATAGGTACTGATTAACAGCGAAAAACCTGCAGAGTTTGATTCAAATCTCGAGGAAGTAAATATCCCAATATTTGCTGAAGAGCTACTCCAGAGTGAGCTCATCTCTGGCACCATGAGTTGACACACTTTCCATGAGTAATTGTCCTCTAGACAGTTATTTTTCACAACTGGAACAAAATATGATAAAATATAATATTCCCAGCACTATTATTTTTATAGGAATTGCTTAGTAATCCACGCAAGTCACCAGTCTATTAAGAGCTGTGATGTGAGGGGTGATTCAGAGTGAGATCATGCTGCGATACTGATTCCTTACCATAATAAAGGCAGCTTGATTGCAGTAGCAGTCCAGGAGTTAGGTAAGCTGTGAAGGGCAATACAGGCTCTAGCAGCATTAGTCAAAATGGCTTTAAGACAAAAAGATAGGGACAGTCAAAGCAAACCTCACCCTGATAACCCCAGTGTTTACTATTCTCACAGAAGTATTCCTTTACTTGTGAATCCTGGTTCATGTCACCTCTTAAGAATAAAAAGCCAAAAGGAGAAGGTTCTTTAAATTAAATGCCATCAGTTATAAAAACTGGTTTTTTAAATCTTGTCCTAATTTCTTAATATTTGTAATAGTGTGGCTCTTCAGCTATCATATATTTTGTACTGCAAGAGGTGTCATTTAACAAAGGGTGACAAATAGCTGGTAACAAAAATCCAGTATGCTTTGGAGGTTGCTTCTCATGGTAATTAGTCCACATGCCCAGTCTTTCAGTTATTTTGGGTTGGTGGGTTTCTTGAGTCAGTGGTTGTGATCTCCCCATGTCAGAATTACCTTTATCCAGTCAGAGCCAGTTTCAGCACAGTTGCTGAGTTGTCCTTATTAGTTTCTTCCTTATTTTGGGAATTATTCCAGATGTCCTTGTGGCCAATAAAGTCTGCATTCTTTGTGTCCTCTGTCAGTAGTACATTCTTCCCAAGCTTTGCTAACCTCCCACTATGCCTGAGATCAAGCATGTCAAGCCCTAAACTTTAAGGAGGCCAACAAGTACTTTAACACCTGGGCATCACTTAGAGATTGCTTATTAGCTGCTACCTGCTTTGTGGATTGTATCTTCTTTCTTGTTAATTAGGCTTGAAAATATATAAATATCAAATAACATCCTTTTTTTAAGAGAATTTTTACATATTTCACATTTTACAACAATAAGGCAAGACCATGTTTCATAACCCCCTCCTGATTCCCTGTAACTCTCTGGGCAAATGGTTAATTATTATTTGTCTCTTGAGATGTCAGCATCATAATAAGTCTCTTCCCCTTTTATCTCATTGTTGTAGTTTCCCTTTATTGCATTCCATGTTTTTTAGGTCAAGCTGTTCTCCTTTTCCCAAAAACAGACCCGTGCATCTGTTTCTTATCTCCATCAATGCAGCTGGTGGTGTTCCTCAAACAGGGTTCAGTACCTGCAGTGTAAAGCCAGTATCTGGCCCAGAGCCAAGATATTTGATTTATTTAATGTTTGCACCAAGATGGGTGCTAGGTAATAATTCCTCAAAGCCAGCTTGGAATGCATGCATTTGCCTCTCTCTATCTAATAATATTAATTTTTACTCATAACTGACTGGCATTATATTTGCTAACTAAGTCTGCATGTGCATAATTGCTCATCTTTTGAGTCAGTGGGTTTCTTGAGTCCCTGGTCATGATCTCACACTTCCAGAGTTACTTTTTCACCTTTCTGAGCCAAAGCAGTTCACCATCTTGTTTACCTTCTTGAGTTAAGATGGTCCCCTTAGAACCTATTGGCTCGGGTCCTTGTTTCTTTGTTCCTCTAGTGATCTCTTTAGGTCGTCTTGACTTTCTGGTATAATCCAGCAATTTTTCCATGTACATGGAACAGCAGCTCCTGTAACTCACAGAGCACTGGCACAACTTCTAGGAAACAAGTACAGTCTTTTATTCAAAACAGGTATCAAGGGAAGAGTCATACAAACACTGACTAATAGTCACTCATGCTTAATTACTGATGTCTATGACAAAATTCCTAATGCACATGTGCAAATCTTGATCTGGTTCATTATATTATCATTTACACAGACAAGTTTTCCTGGGGGGGGTGTCTCTGAGTATTACAGTAATCAAAGGTAATTCTAAGTTACATTTTCCTTCTATCAGCTATCAAGTTACTATTTAACCTTATATTCTATTACAGTTTCTGCTTGAGCCTCTTTGAAAAATTGGTTGTTAACTAAATAAGGATTTATAGTATTCTGTTCCTGGGGTCTTTTCATATAGCATTCTATTCCTGAGGACTCTTCACTGCTCCATTACTCCAGCCCCCATTGTTATGGTTTCAAAACTGACCTACAGCTGCTAGGGGCTTTTTGTGAACTTTTATGCATTTCCATCTTCATGCGACATCATGACCACAGTAAGGAGGTTCAGCTACAATCTTTATAAGTAAGCATTTGCAAAGGGTAATAAAATGTAAACAGTGTTGGGCAGCAACACCTTTTATTCTTATTTTTGGTTAAGCCAATCTTCTGCTTTGTCTGTTCTATTAGTCTTATGCATTCCCATTTCCATCCCATCTCCTTTGGATCTTGAAGTATTGCTGTTGTCTACCCTATATTTCATATTCTTCCCTTTCATTTTCTTCCCTTTCCTGTTTTGGGTTTGTTTGTTGGTTTGGTTTTGGTGGGGGTTTTTTTTTGGTTCATCTTGTTTCTTGTCCTCCTTTTTGTCTTCATTGACAATGAGAAAAATATGGTATTTTTCATAAGAGTACCTATTTAGTCTTTTGTGCTAAGCTGTACAGTTAAACGTCAGGGTTTCATGCAAAATGTCACTAACACTGTGAAAAGACCTTTCCAGCCCAGACATAAATGTTTGTTACTGCAGTTGATAGTAGCTGTTGTTACAAAAGTGAAGAGACCTGAGGCAGATCCCTTTCAAATAGCTTAATCTCTTCATTCAATATTTTAATGCATTGATTGTGGAAGAAGAAAGTGCAGGATTACTTAGTCCTGTTTCTAGCATTGCTCTTCTCTTTTGCTGTACTAACCTTCTCTTTACTGGCTTCTCTTCACAGTAAAAAATATCTATATAATCCATAAATAGATTACCAGGGGAGAAAAGAAGATCACAGATGGCATTATTCCACAACTAGAAATGGTAGCAGCAGCTGGAATAAGCTTCGAACTGAGAAAATACTTAGTAAGACAACTCAGAACTCTTTAGGAAAAGCACAGAAGGAAGCAGAAGTGAGACATGACGTTTTAGCCACACTAACACAGAATTTTGCAACCAGAAGTATAGATTCAAAGTGGTAAGATATAAAGTACTGAAATTCAGTTTTGCTACTGTGCTCTGATCCGGGTAGAGTGATGAGAGTGCTGTGTGTGCAACAGACTCTATTCTCTGCAAGATAGTCAGGAGGAACCAAGAAACAAGGCTCCAGCGAGGAGAAGTGAGAAAAGGATGACTCCATAAATCTGCAAAATGAGTGCAAAGCAGAGGAAGATGGCTCTATAAATCCAATAAACAAGGAGATAACACAGGAACAACTGCCTGATAAGGCCAAAGAAGAAGTTTGCTTGACTTTTGTGCTAACCTTTAGTCATTAGCACAGTGAAATATAATCCCATCAGCCACTTTCCTCTAGAGCATCAGTGGCAAAATGAAAGAGTAGTGTGCCTTTAAATGAAGGCAAGAAAATGTATAGGCAATGACTGCAGGGGGAACGCTGTTGTTCCAGGGGTTGGGATATATAAAAGTGGATACAGACACTGCAGATGTGCCTGCTCTGTCACCCACTCTGTTCCCACAGGAAATGCACCTCTCAACTCTGTGTCCATCGGCTTCTTGCACAGCTGGTGAGAGAACCCATAGCTGGGACAACAGGAGTGTTGGTGACACAGCCACAGAGCCGGATCATCCTGCTGTCCTGGCGGCAGCAAATCAGGTGGGACAGGTCTCCACCGTTCACCCAGCCCTTGATCAGTGACCTCAGCGAATCCTCTCCAGCACTGGGGTGCTGCAGTGCCCCAGAGAGGTGTTTGAGGAAGCCAGAGGGGTTATGTGTCAGCTTTCCTGGACGCCCAGAATTTTCTAGATTGGTAAGTGCACTTTTGTTCCTCTTTCTTCTTAAAAAAAAATTAAAATTCAGCGTCCACACAAGCCATGCATGAATGCTCAGTGTGGGGTTGAACCAATCAGTGGGTTCAAGTGTGTGCAGTGCAGACTATTGGAGAGGCCAGCCTAAGGATAAAACTATTGGGTAACATAATATTTAACAATGGGAACAAGTCAAAAGATATGAAGTATATTATTGCCACTTCTTGTTCTCTCTAATCACGTAAAAGTAATTTAATTGTGAAATGTCATTTTATTATCAATTTTTCCATATTGTATCTCACAAATAAATTTGGTGCCATCTCTGATTTTCTAACAGCTTTGCAAAACAAACTTGTGTAGCAACAAATTACATTCTTTATTCTCTTAACAGTGTATTTAACTCATGTAAATGGGTACTCTTTCCTATTACACTGAAGACATTATGTTATTATTAGTATTACATTACTATTTTCCTGTATCACTGAAGAACAGAAATTAAGGAATAGGAAAACTGTCATCTGTTAGAAATAACAAAAGTCCTTGTTGTAGTCATTATCTTCTTCCAATTCATTTTACTGTGTTCTTCTACAGTCACTGCTGTTTTTTTCCAAAGGGACCATAGATAAATTAGCCCTCTTTTTCCTTGAGAAGCCATAAATAAGTTACTGTAAAATTACCTAAAGTATTTTAGATGTTCTGCTCACAGCTGGTCTTTTGTGAAGCAACACAGTGTTCTTTACAGATCAAGGCACCTCAGCTTTCTTGACTCTGGATCACTGCATTCTTCATTATGGTAACTAAATGTTCTAAAATTTTTGAACTTAATAAAAAATGAAAACAAAGAAACGATTTTTCTTAGGTCACTCTTTGGTGCATTTGGCTGAGACCCAGAAACACAGCTGAGACCCAGAAAAACAGAAATTACAGACTTTATAGCATCATACCATAATATTCCTACAGCCTCTCCCATCCTGAGGACATTGTCTCCATTCTTTGCTCTGAAGCTGAAAACCCCAGCACCACTGGTAAGTCACTGTCCTTTTACCAGTCATGGGTGGGAGGACTGGCAGCCTCAGTAGTGGAAAATGAAACTCCTTCCTTCCAGAGAGTGAGCCTGGTTAGTTAGCCAACACCCCCAGGGCAAGATCTATAGGCCACAGCTCAGGTAAACATGAACACAAACACATACACACACTTTGCAGCCTATAATGTGCTTGTATACAGCATTATGAACTGAAAACATATGGGCACAGTTGCACAGTTTGACTGAAGGCCACTACAATGCCTTTGCAATCACTATTACTTCATAAAGACATCTGGTCTAGTCTTGTAAAAACACATGTCAACCCTGAAATAAAAATCAAAGAATCACAAATCCAGAAGCTCATCAAGTCCTATGCTCGTATTTTGCAGCATTATAAAAATCAATAATTAATTAAAAGTATTTTTCCATTCACAGTAGTAATAGGCAAATATTTCCATTTGTGAGCCATATGGACACATTTATCTCTGTATCACTAAAAAAACCTCATTGATGATATTATTCCACAGTTGACTGTATTGATGTAAAACGCATAACTGTATTATATAACATGTATTATACAGTATGTTGTATAATACAAGGAAAGTGTTTAACATATTGTACATTTACTATTTAATACAGTTCTGTAGCAGTGCAGGTGCAGCTTTGGGTCTTACCACCTAATGGTTGGGGTGTATGGAATTCCAGCATCACAAAATGATAAGGTTGTACCTTGACAGTTTTTAAGACAGACTTTGGAGTACTTATACTCAGGAGCTTTGACAGTTTTTTATCTCTATAATGTAAGTTCTGAGCTCTGATGATTTCAGTGTCCAGGTTTTATAAATGAGAGCTGCGGTCAGTACCACCAGCCACGTTCTCATTGGGGAGAGGAAGAACGCCAAGGTGCCGTATGTTCGCTGCAGGAAGTAGCAGGAATAGACCTGCCAGGCCAGGAGCAGGGCCATTGCCACGTGAACAAGCACAGCCACGAGGCGTCGGGCATGACGGATGTGGGAACGGAAGCTGTGGCCCTGGCATCGCAGCAGCAGGCACCAGCACAGATAGGCCGTCAATGGCAGGTTGAAAAACATCAGCTGAAAGGAAAAGCAGAGAAAAATAAGACAGTGAGCAAGCCAAGGGTTCTGGGTAACATCTATGAAGGCTTAAAAACGTACGCACAGATAAAGCTGTCCCATTCTAAGGGCTGAGTACAATTCCCAGAGATGGAATCTCAGAAGGCACCTCTACGACTTTGCAGCTGATAAAGCTGCGACTGCCTGGGCCTGAGTCCCAGGCCAAGCACTCCTGCCCATTCCCTTGCAGTCAGAGGCACTAACACGCATCTGACATTTCCTGGAAATGATTCAGGAAGCCGGACTTAGCAAAAAACTAACATGGCAAACCAGACGGTCTGTATGTCAGCTTAACTCTGACCCAGCCCACTGCGGTGCCACACGGGTACAAGGGAGACACCATGAAGAAGGAGGCAATGCTGGTTTGGCCCTCTGTCTTAAATGCCAAGGAATGACACTTTGTCTTTCAGATTAATGGGGAAACCACTCCTGGGAAAACTGGACTTATGTGCTGAGAGAGTGACACCTACTGATCATGGCAAACCAGACGGTCTGTATGTCAGCTTAACTCTGACCCAGCCCACTGCGGTGCCACACGGGTACAAGGGAGACACCATGAAGAAGGAGGCAATGCTGGTTTGGCCCTCTGTCTTAAATGCCAAGGAATGACACTTTGTCTTTCAGATTAATGGGGAAACCGCTCCTGGAAAACTGGACTGTGATTAGAGAGTGACACCTACTGACCTGAAGGGTTATTAAGGCTGCAAGGGCTGCCCTGGCCACTCAGTTTTTTGCTTAATGGCATTGTGTGAGCCAAGGGCAAAACCAGAAAATTTATAGAAAATTTAGAGTTGTAAATCTGTAGAGACAGCCTCTAATCCAGATATCCAGGGTATCCAAAGCAACATCATTTTATTACAGAAAAAAAGAAGTTTGTGAAAATAATGCACAACCTCCTTCCTTTCTTTAAATTTGCAGAAAGGTAAGAAAGACCACTTGTATTCAGGCATGGTCACTAATCTCTCTATTTCCAAGACTCATTTCTTTAAATCTATTTTAAAAAATGGAAAAAAGCCCCTGAGAGAAAAGAAAAGTGCTGGTTTTTAGCCTTTGTTTTATAAATACTCACCTGTAGAATCCCAACCACGAACGTCATACTGCCCTGTAAGAAGGAACCACCAACAAACACCCCAAAGGAAAAACAGGCCCCCATCTGTCCATCTATCAGTTCACCTACAAACCACGGTCCTGCAAGAGAGGAAACCAAACATCACCGTCAGGAAACACAGCAGAGACACAGCCCTTTCCCACATGGCCCTTTGTACCCTGAGACTTCCCTTCCTACTGCTTGTCCAGAGTAATCAGCCTCATGTTTTCATATTCAGCAAACAGCAGTATGGTATGAAAATACCACACAGTATGACAGGGGGTTGTGGCATGCAATGAAAATGCTTTTGAATTAGTTTCATCTCTGTGACAATTTTCAACACCACATATAATATCTTCCTTATGAGAGAGGTGAAAAGGGTAGCTTTTTCCCAGAATTACAGTAAGATATATGAAAATTGTGGTCACAAACAATTCCAGCCTGGCTCAGCATAGAAATTAAAATAGGCAGGCTGCTCTGTGTTATGCATACTACACAGACTAACAAGAAAATAGCTATTTCAGTAACATGTTATCAGAGGAAAGCAAGCTCAGATTGTTAGCTCTGATGCTAACAATCAAAAAAAAGTGAAAACCAAACTGAATTTAAAAATACTCACTTTGCTTTCAGAGTAATTTAACAATCTAAGTGCTTAATTAATTCAGGACTTCTAAGTTAAGCTCTTAGAAATAAACCTTTAGTCTCTTTGGACATGAACTTTTAAAGTTCCACATAGATTTTGTAACTTAAGTAGATTTTCCCCATTCTCCAAGATGTTAGAATTCTTAATCTTCATCAGGATCTAATGTGTAATTTCAAAATACTAATTTATGTTCTCCAGTCCTCTAGGCTACTTACCCAGAATGGTGTATAAATTCAGAACCAGAATTGAGTAATAGAAGGTGTTTGTTTTACTGAAGACATGAAGAGAATATGAAGTCAGAGTAAGTAATCCCGGCTTTTCTAAACAGAGACAACATTTAAGAAAAATACACTTAATTCGGTTTGCAACACCTCCCCAGATATATGTATGGATAATACTGGTCTTTCTGAAACAAATCTGCACGCTATTTACTCATTCTTTTAAATAAGGAGTATGAAATAATATTTGGTATGTCTACAGAAAATTGCAGAGGAATGCATTACTATTACTGTGATAACTTTAAGTAAAGAACCAATAAATATAACAATCTGTATTAAAAACAGCAGAGAAACCTGCCATTCTAAAGGAATACACTTACTGTATGTAAATAATACTGAACGACCATTCTATACCCAGAAAATGAAGTTAGCTAGAATGAAAAACATGGAGAAAGTATGTATTAAATTAAAAGTAAGAGAATCAAAACAGTAACTCTGCAAACCCAGAAAGGTGGGTCAGCATGGACTAGATTAATTGGATTTCCTTTGATTAAATCTACTTTAGTGAGATCTGATAGCAGCTCAAAATTAAGGCTAGGCATTAAAATGACATTCTGACAAGTGTGTGGTGTTAGCAGAAAAAAGCAGTAGTAGCTCTCTAACTAAAGCAGACATTTCAAAAATCAAGCCTTCCTAAAAAGTTAGCTTGTAGACTTACACATATTATGTGGTCTTCTCACAAAGAATTAACCCTTAGAGGGAAAACTTCACCTTTGGAAATCAACAGCTCTAACAAACTTGTTCATTAAGTTGTCAAACATTTATCATGGTCCACATGGACCTAGCTGACCACAGAGTCACTTTTTTTAATATTTAGCTGCTGAGTTCCATAAAGGCAACTGAAAATCTGATTCTTTTCTATGTAAGCAGTTGCTGTAGTTACCTCAGGATGCTACACAATTAGGAGTATAAAGGAAGGGACAAACGCTGACATGAATAGGAAGGGAGGTGGCTTCCAGAAAAATCTCATTAGTAAGGTGTGGTTCAAATGATTGTTTAAAGGATAAACGTCATGAGCTTAATAGAAATAATTTTCATTAACTAGATGGATCACAAACAAAGTATCAAGTTATGACAGAAATGGCCTTAATATTATTTTGAGAAAGACCCAATCCTGTTCATGTTCTTTGCAAAAGTTAACAAATACTGTCTTTGCCAAAGGAAACCTGTTTCTCCACTTAGGCGAGAGAGAATTCTGTGACAACTGTAGTGAAACAAGCACACATATAGAAAATACAAACAAAACATTCCTTTCCCTATATATTGGATTCTTCAGTGAGAAAATGAAAATGAAATCTTGGGCTTCAATCAACTTAATTTTTGTTTAAACAAAAATACCTGCTCAAGTTTCTAGTTTACTTTATTTGATATATTGGAGGTTTCCCAGGTTCCCTTAAAAGTGAAACAACAGCTTCTGAGATACCAATCAAACCCCACAGAAGCAGATGTAAAATGCATATAGTGATTAACAGCACAATTACTTACATATTGTTAGCACACAGGTCAACAGTAAAAACTTTAGGGGAAAATAGAACTACTAAAAACCACGGGCAAACATTAGTTGATACCTTTGAGTGCTGGCTTTTGGAGGTGTCGGAAAACAACAAGCAAGGTAATCTGAATCAGCACAGTCAGTCCAAAGAGCACTCGAGCCTGAAAAGACAGTTTTGACTATAAGCCAGCCCTGGAATAATTACAGCCTTGGAGCATGCCTTATGGACACTGATAGAATGCTACAAAGATTCTATTTGAAACACATATTCAAAGCTTATTGGTATCATTAAACTGAAGAGTAAAAAAGGAAACTTAAGAGTTTCTAAGTTCTAGGATTTGTATTGTACTGACTTGAATTCTTCTGAATGTCTGAAAGCAATAGACATGAATCTTTAAAAAAAGAGAGTTTGTAAACAACATTGAAAAAGTGTAGTTACACTTGCAACGCAAAACATTGTCTGAGCACTGTTCTGAGGAAAAATGCAGTTCAAGACATGGTGTAGAATGCAGGACTGATTAAGAAAACAAAGATAATAATTACAGTCATGTGGACTTTCTTATGTAGTTCTAGAAATGCACCTAGACTACTAAGACATGACATCCTTCTTTGCATGTACTGAGCTGTAACACACCTGGATATGACCTGGAACTTACTAAAGTCAATGGGGATTTTGCCCTTCACTTCACTGGAGCTAGTTATAATGTCAGCAGCTGACAGTGAGCATATTTGCAGAAAACATTTCAACAGTTCACAGTGAATTTTTCTTCTGTTTAATGTTTCTTTTTTCTACTCTCTCCAGTAGCTCTTTTTCAATTTCTTGCTTGCACAAAATGCGTGTATACTTACGCCCAAAAATGGGTAATTGGGACTAAATCCAGGATGTCAACTGTTTGTATAAACCATTGTTGCACATTTGCGGTTGAAGTGTGCAACTTGAGAAACTTTAAATGTTTTGGAATTCCAAGAGTCATATCTGGAAAAAGTCAACTGCATTCAAGTCTACAAATTCCTGCAGGAATTACGAAAATGCCTACTGCAGATTGGGAAACCAACATGGAGTAACAGCTGTTTTGCTGAAAGTACTTACTAGAACATAGTGGTCAGTGAGAAGAATAACAGATGACCAGAAGTCAAATCTAAGAGAGAGGTTTTCTTCCATACCAAATAAATGGCCCCGTGTGCCAGTTCTTCCTGATGCATCCTAGATTGACATAAAATGAGAGCAATTACATAGCAGTGGTACAAAAAACTGTCTAGTTAAAATTCCTGATTATCATTGCAGTTTTTCTAGAAAGATACAATTGATGTAAGCTTCTCTGGCATACTGCTGTATTAAATTCTACCTACAAAGTATTACTTACAGTCAATTCTGCAGTTTCAAGTAAATTGATAATTATAAAATCATAATCTGAAAGTGCTACATATGAAGAAGAGCCTGTCAGAGATTCACCAACTTACAGAAGACTGTGACTGTTCCCCCTCACAATTGTTTTCTGAAAGTTCAATTCTAGGTAATAGCCCATATTAAAATATTTTGAAATTTTGTTGTGCTTCATTTCTGGTGTATTGCTATAAACCCATATAGATAAACAAACATTTGTTTATTGTCATTTATTCAACAGTTTCAGCACAGTGTTCCAGATGTGGCCTGGCAAGCACTCAGTAGAGCAGGATAGTGACTTGTCTTGGCTGGTGGTGCCTTTGTGGATGCATCCTGGCATCCAGTAGATTTTCTCTGCTGCACCAGCACACTGTTCATTCACACTGAGCTTGTGGTCCACAGGACACTGAGGTCCCTTTTCACAGATCTGCTCCCCAGCCAGGCAGGTCACAGCCTGTGCTGCACTCCTGGATTATGTTTTCCCAGGTGCAACTCCTTACACTTTTCCTTTATGAATTTCATAATGTTCTTCTTGGCCCACAATTTGCCCTTGGTTAATCTGTGTTGGCTCTTCCTAGTCATGTGCTTCATCTGACTTGAGAAAGCCCCCCACAAGGATTTATTTCCTAATTTTCTCAGGGACTGAAATAAGACTAATGGGCCTGTAATTTCCTGGATCCTCCCTTAAGCCCTTCTTATAGACAGGAGAGTCACTAGCCTTCTGCCAATCTTCTGGGATGCCCCTGATCTACACAACTTCTCCAAGACTATGGAGAGTGGCCTCACAAAGATGTCAACCAGGTCTCTTAACATTCTGGAGTGGAAACTGTCAGGGCCCATTAATCTGTAGGATCAAGCTCCTGTGCCAGGTCTTACTCCAACTCTTCCTTCATTTTCAGTGGGTCTCTGTTTGCATCAACCTTGATCCTTGTTCCCAAAGCCTGAGGCCCGACACTGCTAGGACAGACAGAGGTGAAGAAAGTGTTGAGAACCTTTGCCTTTTCAGAGCTGTTGGTGACTAATTCACCTCTGCTGTTTAACACCTGGCCAGTATTTTCCTTCTCTTTCTGCTTATTGTTTATACATCTTTAGAACCCTTTCGTGTAATTTTTGACATCTCTGGCCAATTTCAATTCAAGTTCGCACTTCTGTCGTGTCTTATTTTACTTCTTATGAAAAATAATATTTCTTTCTTTATCCCAGCAGCTTAATGAATATTTTGGTGCTTAGCAGTCAATATTTATTCCTTTATTAAATTCTTCAGGTTTTGTAATCAGACAAATATGAAATTAAGTCTGTTATCAAGTATTTTGTTCCTAGTTATGTAAGGCAGGAGGGTGATAGAGAAACCATGACAAGAAAAAAAATTAATACAAAAAATGCCAACAGGTACCTTACCTGGACAGTCACATCTATGTGATGGAACCCTTCACTGTAGTTTTGTGGATTCCACTTCAGCACATAGAGAGGACCAGACACCTGATGTGCATTCCCCAGGTGAACTCCATCTATGTAGACTTTGACAGAGATAATGACAGAAGGAGAGAATGCCAGAATTCTAAGGAGTAAATAAGGAGCAAAATAAACAGATTTGTTACTGGACTTGCAGGTATGCCATTACTTCCTTAAGAAAAAGTCCCTAAAGGTTAAGCTACCTTGTAGTAAAGAGTTCAAAAGATTTAGAAATTAAAACAGTGAAATATCTGTAGGCTCATGATAATGTGGTAGGTCTTTCCTACAGTTAAAAAAAAAGAGTTCTGTGTGGCACTACACAAAAGAACAGGATAGAAAAATGGCTGTGGAACAGACAAAAAGGTGGCAGAAGTTGTAAGGCCCTGGCAGAAATAATTTTAGAACTTTTGCTTCAAAACACTTGCCAACACAAGTGGTATGCCTCCTCCAGCACACACAGACACACAACCAAAGATTTGTAGATGACTTCATAAAAAATATCAGGCTCTCTCTCTCTCTAAAGTCCTTTGTTGTTTGGAGTGGGGTTTTTTCCTTCTTTTTTTCCCCTTTTTTTCCTTTTTGCTAGTCAGAATATAACCTCTCAGAGTTTGTAACTGCATTTAAGACAAATGGAGTGGACTGCAAGACTGATATTACAGATCCCAGATACCAACAAAGGTATTGTCACTTGGCAGTAGGGTTATATTCACAGAAACAGTGATACTAATACAGACTCAAAATATTGCACATGCAATTCCTTTCATTTCTGGTAATATGAATGGCGTTCCAGAGCATGTTTTAGTCAATGCAGGTGTTTCATACAGTTATGGTGAACAATTCTACCAGTTCATATATTTAATATAAGAATGTTCAGATAAGGTTCTGAATAGGAAACTGGAAAATTATTACGACTTCTAGTACAATACTGCTCCCCAACTGAAAAGTATGAGAAACTTATTTTTATTGTAACCCTGTGTATGCAGTATTTCAAGCAGATTAATCTTACAGCAAATATAAAATGCTATAAAGGGCCTAAAAATCTGAAATATAAATGTAAAAATTAAATAGATAAGGTAAAAATGGAAAGATGGAGAGATTTAAAATTAATACGAAAATTGACAGAGACTTCTCATGTTTTAATATATAAAGGATGTAGAATTGAAAAGACAAAGCTAAGAAGTCTGAAGTGAATAGAGAAATAATTTAGAAAAATACGTAGACAAAATCCTGAAATTATCAGAGTTGATGTGAACATATGAGATAACAGAAATTACATGTTAATCTGTGCATATTGATTACATATGAATCTATTTTAATTATATATTAATTGATCAGCTTTGGTTACATAAAGTTCATTTAGGGGAAATAACTGCATAAATAAAACAAACATGAATTACTACTACACAATCTTTTTATCACAGATATGATACAAAGCAAGTTCTCTGGAATAATCTTCCAGAGAAAAGTGAATTCTGAGAAGAGTAGACACACATTTGAAAAAAAAAAAGTTTTGTATATAATTAAATATTGTGAAATCAAGACATTACAGGGTACCTGATATGAGTGGAATAAAGAATTTTGACTAGTGGTTCATGAGTAGAACTGCTGTAAAGGAAGGATTTAGGATTGGTGATGAGAACTACAGGCCACTCTTCAAAGTTCACATCAGCGAAGCTGAGTAGGTCATGATCAAACGCGAGGATCCTGTATCTATAATGAAAGGAAAAAGATTTTGTTAATACAAACTGCCATGTGAACAGCTGATTTCCATGCTTCTCAAGTTCCTAAAGAACCTGGCTTTATTTTCCATTTATTCCCTTCTGTAGTTGATCTTACATTTTCCAACTATGCTATATTAACTCTACAGTTGCTTACCTCTAATGAGGTTAATTTCATTATAAATCATAGAAGCAGTACTCAAAGTTCCAAGTGTGAAGATCTGTTGAATTTTGCACATGAATCAGATAGATGAACCTTACATTAAAGAACTCAAATATAATGTACATTTCCACAGTGTCTGTGTAGGTACTCTAGTTCAGGACAACAACCCCAGCATGCACTTCCTCTGTATTCATACCAGTATCTTTCTTTGGATTACTGCAGAATAAAAGCTAATATACTACTATACACTACATGTAGCATCAGACACTTTTTGATATATAAGTAAGGTAACATTTCTCAGGTGGACTACTTCTGTGTCAAGAATTCTAACAGCTACAGCAGAGCATGTGTATTTTGAAGTAGTGATGCTGAATTTTACAACAATTTATTTGTCTAAATTTGAATACTAAACACATACTATCTGGATACATATTTAGATGTCCCCTTTTTAGTTTTTAAATATCAAGAATTAATAAAAAATTATTTAATTTATTATCATACAGTTGGTATGGGGAAAAATCCCAAATGTACACACAAGGCCATTTTTTTCAAAAGCACTAATAATAATAACCAATCAGGCTGATCTCATGCTTCTTTCAAATTCACCACACAGCATAAAAGGGAATCACAGTACAGCAAGGTAGGTTTCATATAATAATTTCCTCATATGGGCTTTTCTTACCTCCTATTATCCATCCAGTCTCCCAATTCAAGTTCCAAAGTGCCACCACGGTGTTGACTGTGCAAGGCTGGCATCAGCCCGCCCATTGTATGGAGATGTCCACATAAATAGGCTGTGGCAGAACTAATAAGAATTGTGATTATTTGGGTGGGAAGGAAATATCACTGCAAAAAACCTAAAAGTGAGAGATGAGCATGTGAAGACAGGCAAGAAATGTACTTCATGCTGAAAACATACAGGATAAGAAGATCTTACCTCATTAGTGTTCGTATTCCAGGGGATGGGGAGATGATAGTTGAAGTGGGGTAGTGGCCAAACCAGATAGTATGGTTGCTGTGTAGACTTTCTGTTGCCATCAAAGACAGCTCTGCCATTTGATTCTGAAACAGGCAGGTGACAAATCTGTTTTGTTAAATAAATGTCTCACATGCATTATAACTTAAAAATGTAAACACTCTTATAGATGAACACAAATCTTTCAAACAATTTTTCTATATTAAAAAACCCCCAAACCTCCAAACAAACCACTACAGAAATAAAACAGCCAGCAAAATGAAATGCAAAGACTTATACAATACCGTGTTTAAAATCCCAAAAAAATTATAGGGTCTCTTAGGGCCTGGGCTGAGTGTGGCATCCACGCAGATGAATGAATAGTTCCCAAAAGAGGTAGTGTGGATATAATGGAAAGAGCCATCTTTACGCCAGGCAGAGTATTTCCTAACAAAATAAGATGGAAATACTGCTGTTAGAAAAGCTTGTAGCCACGACAAACATGCATTACTTTCTCTCTTTTCATTGACAACAGGTAATTTCACTATTTCTGATTTACAAAACTGAAGTGCTTTTGATACTTTATGCTAGATGGGAATTGTACATATCTTCCACTGGCAAAGACATGACATTTCAACTAACAGTACCACCTAAATTGCTCTGTTAAGGATTAAAATCTGTAGCTAAAATTATTATGAGTTAATCTGAGAATCACTAAAATTCATTAAGTTTAGGTTGTTTTTTTCTTTTTTTTAATTTCTTTTGGGGTTTTGGCATGGGCATTTTGTGTGCATTTGGATTTTTTAAATTTGTTTTAGTTTTGTTTTACTCCCTGCATGATTTGTGGAAGCTAAAACATTCCTGAGTTCAGATTATGAGTATAATTTGAGCACAGCCATCCAGAAATCAGTTCATGTCCCTGTTCCTCCACCAGTCAAAACAATAAAATTGCCAGAAAGGTTGAACTAAATAGAATACAAGCCAATATATTAAAAAGTTTTCAATACTAATGCCATAAAAACCCTTTCAAAATATTTTTTAAGTTAGCATTATCTTTGTGAACATCATCAACTTCAATAAAATTTCTTCCTTTAGTCTCACTTTGAGTATGTGTAACAGTTGATTCATCCTCTGCTAATGCTGTGAACATACAATAGGAACCTATGTTTTTGTGTAAAAATATTGCATTTCAATACAACCCATTGCCCTCTTTAATTTTAATGCATAATGAACATCAGAATGTGGTGTTGAATAACCATTTTTCCTAGCTTTTATTTTTATTTCTGCAAACAATTTTTATAATTTTAATAGTTTTAAATATAAATATATTTTTATATATTGAAAAAATAACTCCATTTCACTCTTCCATCTTCTCTCTCCTAGAGTGTGACTGAAAATTTTGTAGACATTGACAGATTTAACACACTCAATTACAAAACACAGAAGGGTAAGAGATAAGAGATCTGCACAAAGAATTCTCTATTTTCTTAATCAATTCTGCTCTAACTGACAATGCAAAAGACAGAGAGAATAGTAGATACGATCCTGGGCTATAGGAAAGTCAGTGAAAAAGCATATATGTGATAACTGAAAACAGAATATTGTTTAGTGAATTTGACCTTGAATATAGCTGCATCTGTATGGTAAATAAAAGTACCTGTAATAATTCTGAACACTATCCAGGCGTGGAATGTTGAATGAATCTGTAAAGGAGTAAAAAAGGAAATAAGGAAACTTTCAGATCAAATTGATCCTTGGCCCTGTATCTAACTAGGTAATGTTGAGATAAAGCAGTCTCAGCAGGTGCTGAAGAGCTACTTTTCAAAAAATGCATGACTGACAAGCAGACTAACTGAGCAGAGGAGACATTATATACTCAATGCAGTTAAATGGCAATAGTTTCCTCATTCAAGTTTCAATGCAAAGATAAAGGCATTGTGGGAATGTAAATTGTTATTTAGCAACCAAAAACTAAATATGTCTCCATTTTGACCACAGAACTTTTCAAGAGCTTTTATGGACTGGGTGCATGCTCTGTAAGTAAGACTTAACTCATTCATGTAAAATAAAGTAGTCATGGCATCTCATTTAGAGATGCCATGACTACTTTATTTTACATGACTACTTTAGAGAATAGCATGTGTAGAACAGACATCAGCTTGGGGAAGTCTGTACTGCAACAGTTCCACTTCTCCATTAATGCTGCTAACAGAAGCCTAACAGGAAAGTGAGTATATATGACAAAGCTTACACTTTTTTCCCCCCAGGGCAGCTTCCTGTGCAGCCTGTTTATACAGCCTACATGATTGTCAGCTTGTGTTTGAATGCTTACAGTGTGGCAACACCTGATGGATCTAAACTCCCATGACTCCCTTCTATTCAAAAGAAACCAAATTTCCTTTAGCTGCTGGATATGTGACACCTTTTAAACTTAAACCTGTGAGGTGGAAGTCTATAAAAAGTAAATTGAAACCATTTATTCAGTATGGTAAGATTACAGTTTGCCCCTCCATTAAATAATGTGGTATATAAAATAATGATGTGGAAACTAACATCTGAAGTCATGTTCGACCACTTGCCAGGTAAAAGACTCTTACTTCTCTGGTACTAAAACTCACTCCACTAAGAGTGTAAACAAAGTGTGTCCTCAGCAGACATGTGGATGGCAAGCCTTTCTCCTGAGTCATGAATACTAACACACTAGTGACTACTAACATTTTACCTTTATATTCTGTGATCTGCAATCACAGGAAAGACAGAAATGTTTCATTTTCTTCTTACCATGATTCCCTTTGATGTCTATCCATTTGGTTTTTTCCATGACCCTCGATCTCTTCAGGATTGACTGATAAGTTTTCCACTCATCTTCTACCTGCTCAGATCCCAGTTTATCTCTTGTCTTAGCATCTGTCAGATCACCTAATAGTGTACAAAGGTGAGATATAACTAGAGGCCTACACAGTTTATAAAAATACTGTAACTAGACAAGTATGCCATCCCTGCCTCCAAGTCTAAATGGCTGCAGGCCTGGATGCAATCTGCATGTTTCTGTATCTGGTCCACAAGATCAAGGTAAACACCTTCTCATGCAGATGCAGCAGCCTCATTAGACATCTCCTGACCATATCACCGCAGCACTTTCACCAATTAGACAATAACTCTCTGTAGAAAGAGAACTCCAGGTCTAGCATTAAGATTATAAAGCCTTGCATACAGTAACGGCTCAAAGTAATTTCAATTTTCTTGTCAAAACTTAATCTATTTCAACAGCAAGCTGTCAAATGAAGTGGCAAGGTTTATTTCACCTCTCTTGGTATGATATGTTCAAATGGAAACCAGCAATGAAATCTTACATTAATTCACCGGTGAATTTCATACAAATGAGCAGGGATGGTTCTGAGAGAGGAACTGTATCCTAGTGGCTAACCACAGACATTGCTCACATCTGTAATTTCAAACACAAAGAATGTAGAATCATGACCAGGACATGAGGAAAGGTAGCTGCCAGCAAGGGCTAAGATACAGCAACACCTATTGGGAAAACATTAGCTATCTTGTGTGACTGTGTCTGTTACATAGAACACACTAAACTCACTGAAGAAAGTGAATGCTGAAGAAAATAATAATAATGCCCTTGTTGAGAAATTATTCTTTTCAGCTTCTACAGTCTCCCTTCAGCTGCAATTCAATTTCCATTGCTTAAGATATGTTTAAAGCTCTGCCTTGAGATCCTAGAACTTTGCCTATTTGCTGTTCCTTTGACAGTGCACTCAACAGGAAATTCACACTTTTCAACTGCTCACCTGTTGCTAGAACAAGTGCTGGCTGAATTACATCAATTGTTTCAGAACAGAATTTTTCAAAGTCAGGAACTCGTTTGGGATCCCGAAATTTGCTGATATGAATATCTGACACCTGCAAAACAGAAGAGTGAAACACTGCCCCAAGCAGAGGTTATTGCTACCCAGGTTCTTCTGCAAAGCCAAGTATACACAAGAATGCAACGTAAGAGCAGTCACAGTGATTCATGTCAGTCTAAGGGATACAGGGAGAAACAGAAGTGGCTAACCAGGGGAGAAGGGAAGTAGAACAAGCAAATTATATTGCAACTCTAACCCTAAAATTACATTTACATCAAGAAAATTTCCTTAAAACTAAGAGCATACAAAAGTATGAGGAAACACTTAGGTGTCCACAGTAAATTGTGATGATTGCAAGTGGCCTTTGCCTTTCACATTCTCAGAGTTTCTGTGCAATGCAGGGGTTTTGCTGCAAGAAAGACTACAAAGTAGTTTGCAAAGCAATAGGTTAAAGCTACCTAGAACATGAAATGTACTGAAAATTTATTTTGTACCTGGTGTGACATTTCCAGTAGCTGAGTGGAAGGATTTTTAACATTCTATCCAAGCATTTTAATGGACCAAACAAGTGTGTTTAGATCCCATTCCATGTGCCTTCAAGAAGGCAAAGACTGCCTAAGAAAGGATGATATGACTTGTAGAAGATAATGTTAATTTCTGAGTCAGTCAAACCCCTCACATCAGAAGAGCAGTTTGGGGAGAATAAGAAAAGTAAGATTTTTCTATTTTTTTACATTGTAGCTTTTCAATACTGTACAAAAACCCAAACCCTTGTGTGAACAAGTGGTATTTGATGCCCAAAAAGCAGTAAGCAAATACTCATCTGACAATATCACTTGGAAAGAAAAACATTAACTTTTACATTCAGATTAATAAGCCTGCTCTTATAAAGCTTGTAGTTTTTGAAAAATCTAGATAAAATATCTTTGAGAAAAATTATTTACTTCTACTTATTCAATCATCTGTATATGAAGAAAATATTACCTGAATACAGTTTTTAAATTCTGATTAGGAAAACTCCCCATTTGGAATGACATGGAATTTTTGCCAAGATCAGAACTGCATGCTAAAAAAGGCAAACACTTATAACTTTCATTTCACTTTCATCGATGCATTCAAACTACTGTGAAGCAAAGAGCACAGCAAAACTACCTCAATACATCAAACCTCATTTAATCATTGACAAGGATACAACTTGTTTGCTTCTTTTCAGCCTGTGGATTTGCAATTAACTTATTTCAGCAATCAAAGAGAGAAAATCAAAACTTCTACAGTTTTCATTCTTGAGAAAAAAAAAAAAAGTCTTACAAAAACTTTACTCATGTTCTACCAGTAACTACAGCAAATGTAAATTTCCAGCCTTACAGCAGAGAGTGGCTCGAGTGCCTGATTTCCTACAGTGACCTTCCCACTTTTCTTCCTCATGGGTTTAAGATTTTTTAAAAGGTTCAACTTGTCATTTCTAATAGTTACAGTGTCCCGGGACTTCTGAGAGCTGGGACCAAGTTTCTCTCTTCACTAACAGCCATGACATTTGAAGATCTCAGAAGTGGAGCTTCTTCCTTTTTTTTTTTTTTTTTTTAAATTTTAAATTCATTTCAGATCATATCCCAATAAAAAGACAGTGGGCAAGATGAAAAGCTTGTAATGCTCTTATTTACTTTCCAAAATGTAGGTGAAAGCCCATTTGCTGCTCTTTCCCCTCCCTCTGACTGATGTGGATACTTGGCCTCTCACTGCATCATTACTTTCATTAAAATGGGTTGGAAGAGATTTAGGAATGAGGAGAAATTACCATCATCATTCCTTATCTAGCAAAGATGTGGTTCAGGAGAGGCAGGCATTAATGAGGGAGAATTACAAGGTCTAGAGCAACAGTAGAATGCTTTCAGCTGACAGAAATGGGAGAAATAATTACATGCTTATGTCAAATACTGAACCAGAGTGTCTATTTGGCAGTGGGTAAGAAAGCAAATTCTGCTACAGTAAAGGTGGATGAGCCATTAATAGAAGATTAAAGTAGAAAGACTGTGTTTTAGTTCCTTTAAGAAGAGATAGTCCTGTGTATGGGAAGAAAAACAAGACAGGAACTGCTGGGGGCAGAACTATCTTAAGCTCTCTTCAGTGACCTAGGCTAGACCTATGGATCCACCAGGGAGCCTGAAGCCTGTTTCCCATAACATCACCAGGCACAAGGCTGGATTTGGTGCTCAATTAGTTTCCAAGTTAGGTCAATGATAAAGCAGCTGTTAAAGGGCACGTCTGAAAGAGAACATAACCACTTGAAAGTAAAGCCAAGTCTCAAATTAGCTGTGCTGTGATCTATCCTTGGGAGAACTCCACTTGATGTGACACAACCAGAGAGAACACAGCAAGAGAAACATGGCCTGTGCATGCTGCTTGTCAGTATAGCTCTGCAGCTGCTATATGCTGCTGTATCTGACTCTTCACAAGACAGCAGCTCAGGACAGGGGCTTTCCTTACGTTATTTCAAGTGTATCTCTTGATACTTGTACTCTGCAATAAAAATAAGCCTTAAGTCACTTAAGGAAAAATTATTGGAAAAAAATTACACCACCAATTAGAGAGAACCAAAGGACTTATATATGCTAGCTCGTCCACTAAGAGGACTGCCTGCAGCTAATAAAGTGAGGCAAAGTGTTCTTGAGATTGAGAATGAAAACAAAACAGTAAAAGCAGCTATTTGTTAGAAGGAAATGCACAGCAATCCCTGGGACATCTCAGCCATAGGTTAACTACAAATATGTAAACACTACAAATATGTAAGCACTTTTGTGGCTAGTTCTACACTAAGTGCTTCGGGAATGCTCTGGGGAGAAGAGCCACAGAAGAAGCCACAGAAGCTCTGAGACGTGACAATTTGCTTCCAGGACTATGCCAGGTCAACTTGGATTTTATGTTTAACCTGGAAACAAAGCTGTGTATATTTGACCTTTGAATACTGGCACAGTACCTTCTACTGCTATAAATCAGTAAAGCTATTTTCTCAGCCACACAACTTTTCTGAGATTTTGGATGGGGAAAAGGACAGGCAGAGCCTGCATTTCTGCCCAGGGTATTAGATAATACCGCATCAGGTACTGATGCATTATATAGGGTAGTATAATAATTAGGTGATTTTTAATTACCTGCTTCCACTACACACATCTGTCTGTGTGATAAGGAAACTTCTCTGTGCAACCATCCAGGAGCCGCTCTGGCAGTCACACACACCGCCCGCAACCGAGGCCCCTTCACAGCTACACCTGACACACAGCCAGACCAGGTTTCCCATAGCAGGGTCTCAGTCTTCGGGATCATTAAAATAATTTAGTCTTGATGCAGTAATTAACAAAATAACAGTTTGACTTGGGTACCTCTAAGAAGGTGTCCCAAAGAAAGGAATCCCCGGGCTTTTATACCCTCACAGTCTGAGAGCAAGCAAGTCTGGGGGTCATGGGCTCCTGCCGTCACTGAGTGTCGGTCCCGTGGCCGAGCCACAAGTCTCCTGTGCCCTTCGCTGTGTCAAGGATTTCACAGCTCCCGGCCTTTCGCCTCGGGCTCCCGCCCCCCCGAGCTCAGCCTGCCCCTCGCCCTGCAGCTCCACATTGAGCTGCCGGCACTGAACCCGTCCCCCAACGCGACATTTCGGGCAGCCTGGCCAAACGCCTGTAGCCTGGGCTTGACTGCCGCCTCCGCCGTGCCCGAGGCTCGGCCGCCCTCGCCCGCCCGGCCCCGCTCACCTGCACGACCCAGAGCAGGCTCCCGTACCAGTCCAGCAGCAGCGCCACGGCGGCCGCCGCCAGCAGCCCCGCCGCCAGCCCCAGCATCCTGCGCCGCGCCGCCACCGCGCCCGCCCCGGGCGAGCCCTGCGCCGCCAGCCCCGGCACTTCCGCGTCCACCTCCCCGGCCGCCGGGCCCGCGCCGGGCTCGGAGGACCGATGCCAGCGGGGCCGGGGGTGGGCGCTCCCCTTGTGCGGGAGGTTTTATCCGGCGAGGCCGGGGGATCCCGGCTCTCCCCCCGCTGCCTGGGCCCTGAGCGTTCCCGCTTTCCCCTCCGGCCGCAGGGGTGCCTGGAAATGCCTAGGTTAAAGCAGAACGAAACCCGGCCGTGCCGAGAGATCCGTGTCTCATCTTGCTTCCTTACAAATACAGCATGTAAACTTTCGCTTTTTCTCCTGACTGTATTACACTTCTCCCTGCTCGGAAATTTAGGCAGTTGACCTATTTTGCTCCTGACAGAAGTATTTTTATGGTATTTTGAATATGTTTTATATATATATATGTACACACACCATTTTAAACCTTTCTACAGCAACTGCACAGTTGCATAACTGCCAAGTTATTCTTTGCTATCAACTCAGTTTATTAATTGCTGCCCATTTACTGTTGAGATTTTTTCTTTCCATCTTAAGTATGACTTTAGGTGAAAAAGCTTCTATCACTTCACATCACTCTTTGTTATTTAACATAATATTCTCAAACCACTTCAGGTAGCAGAAGTTTCTAATTCAATATTGTTTAACTGTAATTATATTTTCTCATATAATTTGTCATAGGACAAAGATTTAATTTTTAGCATTGATAATGATTAGCATTGATTGGTCAAGAAAAAACATTTTTCAGATCAATTAGACTGCATTAATATAAGACACATCTTTTTAGATGTTCTTCATAATTTAGTTACTCTTGTGCAGGACTTCATTAATATTTGCTTTGTTTTTTTTCAGCTGCCTTTCATCTTGCTTGTGTACTCTTCCCCCCCTAAAAAACACCCTGAAGAAAAGTTGCTAAATAAACATCAGTCAGCAATCCTGTTAATCTTCAGGACTAATCTTGAGAACTGGTGTTTGCCCACTTTCTTCCTGAAGCACTGCCATTGTATTTTAGCTCTAGCAAGGCTGTCAAGCATTTTGTCTGTATTAAAATTGATCTGAATTCCTGTTTTGTTCTTCTTTCTTCTATTACTGTAGTATCCATGGAGATCTTGGTGGTTTGTGCCATTTCTGCCTGGGCACTGGTGCCAACTTGTTTTTTTAAGAGGTTTGCTGACACTTTCTTTGCTGTCTCTCAGCGCATGCCGGTTCCAAATTTTTTTTTAATCATAATTTTTAAAAATAAGTCTAACAGTAAGTCTTGTTCAATTAAAGCAGTCGATTTACATTAGCATAACTTCTAGAAGTCCCACAGTAAAACAAACCCACACTGATAGTGAGGTGAAAGAGGTGGCCAGGCAAGCTGCTTGCCTGGGGGGCAAGGAGCCCTCCTGCTGCTTGACTGGGTTTGTTGCTGTCCTGGAATTCTGCCTTGCTTCTCTTGCTCGACTACATTGGAAGCTGGATTATACAATTGCTATGTTGATGCCAAAACAGGTGGAGGACTCCAGTAATTACAGTCCAAACTTGGTTGTTGTACAAACAACACTTCTGGTTAGCGGGCAGCTGTGCTACTGAAAAGGACTGAGTACAGAGACAGACAGAATGAGATGAAATTGTTAATTGTCTCATGGCAAAATTCACTTTGTATTTTTTACACCTCATACTTAAACCTGTCTCAGTGATGGTGATTTTAAGTGGCAGATTTCAGTAATATAAAAATGTATGCAAAACTTCTTAATAAGAAGGACTAGTAGCTATGGCAGGTGAACTACATTCAGATATAAGAGAAGATGTAAGAGAAGAATGTTGAGAGTACCTGTGGCTGGGTGCAGTGCAAAAAAATCATTGAATATACTTGAAAAGATCACCTGTAAACTTTATCCCATCCATACTGATAACTGAACAAAGTGGAAAAGCTGCTTGGAGGCTTGAAACAGGAAGACTGCAGTGGGAGGAGGCAGTCTTCCCAATATCCAAGATATCAGGCATTCGGTATGGACCCCAAGATCCAATGCTAGGGCTATTTGTCTATTAGGACAGCTTTAGGAAGGTGCAAACACAGGGGATTTGTGCAACTGGATTGCAACAATCTGGGAAACTTCCAGCAATGCATAGGCCGTGTTTGTCACATATCAATCAAGATCCTAAATGCCCTAATCTGCCAAATCTGCTAAGCACCCAGAACAGTTACGAAATGCTGTTTGAAGGAGGTGTAGAGGAAAAAGTTTGATCTTGGAGATCGTTTGTTCTTTAGGCATTTAACTAAAGCTACTGTTGCCTTCTATGCCAAGTTAATAACATTTTGCTGTTTGCTTAGCCCACATGGGAGCCACAAGGAAGTGGTGTGACTTTGCACCTGTGTAGATGAAATTATTTGTGCCATTATCTTGCTAGCAATAGGATGAGGGGACATAGTCCCCTGCATCACCGGAGGCTTACGTTAGACATTAGGAGGAATTTCTTCACCGAAAGGGTGATTAAACACCGGAATGGGCTGCCCAGGGAGGTGGAGTCAGTGTCCTGGAGATGGTTAAGGAAAGACTGGACGTGACACCCAGTGCTATGGGCTGGATGATGAGGTGGTGTTCGGTCGTAGCTTGGACTCGATGATCTCAGAGGACTTTTCCAACCTAATTGATTCTGTGACTCCGTGACTCCGTAATGCAGGGCGCGAAGTGAACACCCAGACGGTCCTGCAGTGAACACCCAGTTTAGGTGCCTGCACAGGAACTCCATCCCCGTAGCTCGGCGCCCAGGATCAACAGGAGCCCCGCGTGCCGGCCGTCCCGAGAGCGCCCGGGCCGGGCCTTGCTGGGCCTCCCGCAGGAGGCGCTGCCGAGGCCCCGCGCGGNGGGGCGGGCCCTGGGCTGCGGGCGCAGCGCCCGGTGACGGCGGCGGCTCCTTCCGGGCCGTGACGGCGCCGCCGGCCGCGTCCCTCGCTCTCAAAATGGCGGACGGAGCCGACAGAAGTCCCGCGGCGGGAGCGGCGGCCGGCCGGGCCCCCGCGCAGGCCCCGGAGCGAGCTACGGTGAGGCTGCAGACCGGCGCCGCGCCGCGGTTCCCTTTGCCCGCCTCGGGGCAGCCCGTGCCCTGCCCGTGCTGCCGCTCGGCCGAGCAGGGCTGGCTCTCCGCGGCTGCCGAGCGGCGCCGTGGAGGGGTA